ATTTGATTTACAAACAAATTCGATGAGTTTAGGCGACAGTGACGGAATCGCCAAATGATGTTCAGTGGGGAAAATTGCAGATCTGGGCATCTTCATCGAAGTCACTCATTTTTAATTTTGTGGCACAGAAGCAGTTCTTGACGGTGACGAAGTGGCCAGCGACAGCGACTCACGGTCAGTCAGTAGCTTGGTCGAGTTAGACAAGGGGTTCGCATCCTTGGGCACATTTGATAAAGTGGGAAGTTGAATTTTTCACAAGTTGGAGTTTTGAGAAATTTAGAGAAGCCTTAAAAATTTGGGAAGTTTTTGCTGACATTTCAACAGTTATACATATTCCTGCCCCTCGTGAGATGGAATTTTGGAGTTTCGAGGGCGTGGTCGGGTGTTTATTTAGCTGTATTGGCCTCAGTGACACTAATAAAATCATCAGCCATCGAGAGAGTTTATATCCAAAATTAACCACATACTACGGTAGCCCTGCAAGGTCACGGAAAGTAGGGTTCCAGAAGTGACTATGTGACTAAAAGTATATAGCAAAATTCGTGTGGCTCTCCCCTTCTGAGACAACCTCTCGCTTTCGCTTTTTTACATGATCACTCGTGCTTTTTAAGGTTTGTAAAAAAGAGCTTCTGCAGTTCTCGACATCACTATTCCAACTTTAACCCTTATCACTTGAATTAGTGGTAGGAGTGGAAGATATGACATTGGTAATCTTCCCGTCAGCTCTTATCATAGTGCTTTCGTAGCTCGACTGGGTTTCTAGATTTCCTTGATATGAGTTCAACCCCTATACGCTGGTGTTTTTGTATTGCTCTAATTATTCTCTCCATTTATTGCTCTGAATAATGCGAATAGTGTCGCATCCAATATGATTGGCAATTCCCTCTAAAATCTACTTAAAATAGGTTGCTTTTTAATACCAGAACCTGCATTCTGCAAGACAGCAGGGAAGTACTAGGGTTTACGAGATTTCGCTCAAGGCGTTCGCTCCGTGTTTTGCGATAGAATGTCGGACAACCCTTCCATTTTATGTGCACCCAAACATGCTCATATCCATGCAAACTCTACAATTGAGGGTACGACTCGATCCTGTCATCGTGCATCGCCCGGGCCAACCAAGCCTTCCATCCCTCCGGGGTCGGTTAATTGGTACCAGACTTGTCTGGGAGGATAAAAACACTGACTTGTACATCGGCTGGCCCCGCAAGTCATTGTATAGGCCACATCGCATTCAAACGCCACTACGAATGTACAAATGGAAGTAGAATGCGTGCCGCATCCCAAAAAGGGATTGATCAACGGCAAATGCTTTATCCTTTATCCTTTATCAGGCGATATTGAACCCTGGTGGTGGCAGGCGGTGCTGATTACAACGCTAGTGATCTGGAATTCAAATCTCCTATAGGACCGGCCAGCCTTCCAGTTTGCCTGAGTCGTTCAATGGGTGCCAGGTCCCGACTGGAAATACTGACCTAATCACTGTAAGGAAGTGATTTTATCACCCATTCGGTTTGGTCTGCTAGTCATTGTATGTTATTGTAGGCCAAACAGCACTCAAATATCACTGCGATTTGAGTGGACGTAGAATGCGTGACGCATTCCAGAAAGGATTATTTCGTACATGTTCTAATCCTTCCTCTTCGCACTTATGACCCAAGCGGCAGGCAGCGCTGCATGGACATCACACCCTACCGCCAAATCTTCCAGTCCTCGCGACAGACAGGTGCACGGGATTTGGCGTACTAGGGGCTATCGAAGAACCACAAATAAGAGTTGCTCAACTGAGAGAAGACTCATCATTGTACAGAAATACGGCACTATTGAGCTATTACAACCCCAGAGGGGGTGAGATGGATCAAAAAAATTTTTTTCGCTGTAAACTTGCGATAGGGGTTATCGAGGCTCCTGATCACGAATATGACCTTAGTTTTGGCTCAATTTCTCTAGGTGACGCTCGAAATAGATGTCATCTAGGCGCTCATCCAGTAAGGGGGGGGGGCATCAAGTGGCTGCCCTCACCCCCCACCCCCCTGAACTGGCTTCACTCCCTCCTGGCTCACGGGGTCCGTACTTCGAGAAACCTGTGTGCCAGGGGGAGTGTAGGCAGTCTAGGGGGGTGGGGTGAGGGCAGCCACTTGATGCCCCCCTTACTGGATGAGCGCCTAGATGACATCTATTTCGAGCGTCACCTAGAGAAATTGAGCCAAAACTAAGGTCATATTCGTGATCAGGAAGAGAAAGAAAGCCCAGTGTAAGGGCGTTTGCGTACAGTTCAATAGATGCCATGAGCTGTTACCACGTTGCTTGGCTATTGATGTCACACCAGAACATCATGAATGCTCCATTTGAGGAACAGTAAACTTGAAAATTTGATAATATCGATAAATTTACCGCTAATTCGCTTCGCACTGGGCATATTGTAGTAACCGTGGAATGCACGAGCACCACCACCTCGTTTCGCCAATGACCTGAAAATAACAGAAGTCTGATTCAACATGCGTCAGCGGTCCCTAGAATGACCCTTGGTCATTTTGTGATCTCTCCGAATCCTAAATCTCCTCCCGCTTGTTGCATATCCAATTTCGTATTTCGCAAGAAACGGATGACCGACCACGGACAATTCACTGGCTGGCGCTGAGGCAAAATGTGGTTGATCTTTCAACTTTTCGGGAATGGTTTCTAACCTTTCGGGAATAGTTGCTAACAGAAAGAGCACAGAGTATCCCTCCAATTACTAGATCGCGAAACGCAAATCTTCTGGAAAAGTCCCACGAATCAAATGGAACGATTCGTTTTCTCCCTAAGCCACAGCTGATAGATCACCAGAAAATATTAATACCCAGATTCAAGAGGAGTGAAAGACACCTTCTTCACAGTGTCGGAAGAGCTTATATCATTGAGACCACTATAGCCGTTGGAAATCGGTAATCGCTGGTTCAATGGAACCCTAATGAATCCGGTGTCTAGCAAGCGGCCTGACGAGGACGACGCGCAGGCAGGACGAGCATGCGGTCAGCGTTATCCAACGCGCTGTCGAGAGGACGATGCTAGGAGTAACCCTATACACGCAAGTGCAGAGGGGAATCCGGAGTTCGAACTACGCCAACGATCGAAGATCAGGGACGCTGCCGTTCGCCAAGGAATCGAAGATAAGGTGGGCCGGACACGTCATGCGATTTTGCGATGACCGTTGGACCAGAGCGGTTACCGACTGGATCCCCTCGGACGTCAAACGAACACCTGGACGACCGCCGGCCCCGTCAGACTTCTTCACGAAAGCTCTACGTGAATAGTCCACTCTAGCACGCGATAGGGACGAATGGAGACGTTGCTGGAGCCCGCTCGAGCAAATGGACGATCAATCGGGCGACAGGTGATACAGGTGATACCGTTCACTTTTCGGTATGAAGAAATTTTGCCATTCAGTCTTGCTGTTATAAAATTTGACCTTCGCTGCAAAGAAAGTAAGAGGCACAAGAGTAAGAAGAGAGACTTCTCTGGAACGCTTCATATAGCAATTTCCTTTCTAGCTCTTGAACGCGGGCGAATCCAAGTGAATATTAGGTCATCTCATTCAAACATGTCCAGACATCTAGAGAAATGGTGGGAAAAGTAAAAGAGCTAGAGCATTCTGCTTGCTTTTGTTTTGAAGCTAGCACACCTAGCTACGGTATACCCCAATTAAGTTTGTAGTGCCGCAGAAGGGTACACTTAAAAACATAAGAAAACTCATAGTGACCAAAATCGAGGCGGAATTTTCAAATGATTGGTGACATACGTAAAATTCGCAACTCGAATTCTCTGTGTGCTGGCTCAGCTTACGCGTGATACAGTGTTCTCGAAGTGCTACGTTGAAGATATGGTGTGAGAGCTCAAAGAAGGAAGAAAGGATGGGAGCTGTGGTTGAGGACGCGCTCACATTGCCCCCTTGCCGAAGAAGAGCGGGTGGATGAAATTGAGGTTTCAAATGGCGCATCACAGATGTTGAACCTTTGCGATGTTTGCCCACGAGACTTGCAGTCTAGCTGCAGCTGTTACGCGAATTGTGCCCAAAAATTGGGGATGGTCCACGGAACATGTTTTTGGAATATCTCATTTACTCCCAGATGCAAGAGTCCAGAATCGAATTGGTGTCTGTAGCATTGACCTTCTCTGCCAATAACGTCATTTGAGAGTATCAAACTGGACCCTGCTCATAAACGAAATTTGAGTGGAATTGTACGCTGAGGCCCAAGTCTGAAGCGTCAACTTTGGATTAACGCGAATGAGGAACTACCCGAATTGGATCACGAAAAGTCACGTGGGTTCACGTGGATGATGATTATGGCGATGGATTTCTGAGATGTGCCTCTTAAAGCGGCTCTGTCGGGAAAAAACCTCCATCGGTGCTCAAGTGTATGGCTTGTTTCTTAGCGATCAAATTGACAAAGGAATAGCAGTACAAAACTACAATAACGATATCATCACCTATGTCGATGCCAGACCCCACATAGCTCATATTGCTCACGGGTATTTCGACCAAACGGATATTGTGACCTCTTCTTATCAGCCGTATTTTCCCAACTGCAGCCGTGCGACCTCAGCTGTTTTAGCGAAGTGAAGGCACTACTCGTTGGCAAGCGCTACGACAACTCGTTGATCATGTATACTGACATCAAAAGCATCTTGTCTATACATGTTGAAATAAAGAAGCTGCGCGGTGTCCAGTGTTTTCTAGACGCTGGGATCGGGTCGTTAACAACAACAAGACCTGCTTGACTTAACACCAAAGTATTAAAAAAAAAACAATAAAAAGTATTAGCTTTTACCTTCATCTGCTGTTATTTTATCGAACAATAAACCGTGACATGTTTTGCATGAGATGACGTACATAATTCGCATAACCATAAACAACAATTGTGACGCTAGCGATTACCGCCTCCGCGTCGCATCTGTCGCATAGACGCTTCTCATCGCGCGAAATCGCATCTTTACGTGTACACTGGATCCATCGCTGTGCTGACTTCTGTGGTGGAGGATATTGGTCGATATATTCACTTCAATTAGCTAGTAGTCACACTTCTCATTTTCATCACGAATGGTTCCTCTTGTTCCCCATTTCGTGCAAAATTTCAAAAGAAAAAGTTGTTGAGTTTTCAGTGCCCGCAGGATCATGCCAGCAAAGAGGAGCGCTGACGAGAGGCTGGCCCAGTGATTTATGTGAGCCACATAAGCACCATAATTTCTCATATCCTCCATTTGAAAAGGAAGAACATGATGAATGTGAAGAATGACGGTAGCCGTGGAGCGCCATTGTCAACCAGTGCTGCAGGCCCAGGCTATTGCAAGCGTTACCAGGCCTCCTTCTGGATAATAAAACATTTTCGAGCATTCGAATGAAAGGGTTTCTAATCAAATGGCCCTCTGAGAAAACTTTAATTACAGCGCTTCCGCGGCGGGGCAAAACCTATTGTTAAGAGGAGGGCAAAAAAGGAGAAACGTTGACAATCCCGCGCACAAGCGAAATCTGTGCTTCAAAAGAAAGTGCTATTTTTCCTGGAGAAGGCTGTGATAAAGAAAAAGGATAGCTCAGAGTACGCTGGTAGATAAACCGTGGAATGCAGCCGGTTTAAAAAGGTGTGACTAATTCATTGTTGATAGTAGGCTCAAAAGGGACTTTTCTTGCTGTGTAAGATTCTAAGCTACTAGCACAGCCCTCTATCGGCTGAAAAGGAGGAGTATAACGAGTTCCTGATGGTCCGCTCTTTTTTCGGACTAAGTCTGAAACTTGAGTGCGATTTACAGTGACTTGGGAAGAAGTGGTGGAGCGTAGGAAGCCGAGAAGGATGGATGACGTCTCTATCCTTCCCATAGTCTTACCCAACTGAAGAAGGATTCACAGTAAGGCCAATGGTAGACGAAGAGCAAAATTACGTCTACGTGTAAAGTCATGGGGGCGACCTCTGTGCCTGCGGCAGCGCCCACCGACGGATAACCATTCGCTCCTAAAACTCTCTAGCTACTATAAAGAGAGCGTCAACTCGAAGAGGGAGCACGCGATGAATAAATCTACGGGCAAGGAAGAAGTCCAATCTCATAGGTTCTGGGCCGCTTTTTTCAGTTTTTTCTTCAATCCCGGCATCACTGAACACTTCTACCTGAATTCTGATGGGCTGCCTTCTAATTGGAAACTCCGCCTTTACTCCGGAAAGAACGAAGGCTCGCTGTGGGTGACGCTTCGATCCGAAATGTGATCGCTGGTAAATGCTTGCGGTCCCGGCGACACCTGGTAGTTCCCCAAATACACACCAATGTCAAAATAAAGCTTGCTAAGGCGAGATTTCATACTTGAACACACCCCAAAGGATCAAAAATGGGATAGCGATCCCGCGACCAACGCATGGTCCAGGAATAGAACCATAGGTCTATATTCCGAATCAACCAAGCCACCAAGCCGTTATTCCCTGCGGATAGGTAGGCGTAGGAAACCTTTCTGGAAGCATGAAACCACCGAATTGTAGCAGTTATATAGGAGGATTGCGCATTCAAATGGTGCTGCGATCTGAATGAAGATGGAGTGTGAGGCGTAACCCCTTATGCAATTGATTGACGTGAAGCATTTCAATCTCTTTTCTTTTATTTTTGAATCCAGCACAGTGCTGAGTGTATCTCATCAGGTTTCAAAGCTGATACTGAAAACATAACATTTCGTACCCTAACTAGGCTGATCAAGTTTCCTCGTTCTCCTTCGAAAGTGCTTCTATCCAACTACAAAATGGACTCCAAACGAGGCTATCTGCCCAATTTGAGTACGTAAATGACGAGATAATTTGCGAGCGGTAATTCAATTTTGTGCTTTTACTAGTGAGGACATCACTGCAGTGTATCTTCGTTGGCTCGTAACATTTCTCAAGCCCTTGTAATCCTCTCCACGACTTCCGCCCACTTTTCATAGGGGCACCTTCCTAGGCCAAGTCAAATCGTAGACGTCACTTTTAGGCCCGATTGTAGAAATTGATAAAAACTCACGGATAGGACTCCGAGCTTTGCGCTGCTGAGAGGCACACTGAAAATGGAAGAGTGAGTTTGTAAAAATCTCTCAGAGAACACTAAGAAAGGTTCTGGTTCAGAAATAAGTAGGCCTAACAATTTTATTAGCCGTTTCGTAATCATACAAATAAGAAATAGGTATTTAAACAGAATAGTCCGCCAAAGACTTCAATAATTTCCAGTCAATTTCAGTTGGCTGGAGGGTTCACCCCTAAATGGGTGGAACTGAGCGTTGCGTAGGCTTGAACCTGGTAATGAATCTCGCCTATAGACAGGTCGCACCTCCTTCTGTTGTTTACGGGAGCGTATCTAAGCCTGTCCTGTGAAAGAATAGTAGCTATACTGGCGCTTGGGCGCTCTAGGGGCTGGAAAACCAACAAAAAGCCGTAGAAGCTGGCAAGTTCGTTCAGAATGAAGTTGAAGGACGTCACCGTATATCAACTGAGAAACAGTCGTCAAAGGGACAAAGGCGCAAGATTTGGCGCTATATTCATGGGACACGCTGTATGGCGGGAAGCCGGTTCGGCCAATCTTAGCCATTGCCAATAAAATTGCAATAAAACGTACCTAGGAGAAAAATCGTCAGGAGTGCTGTGTATGTCGACGGTGAAGGCATCGTTGTGACCCTGAAAAAAGAAGCAGTGGAATTCCTAAACAAGTAAATCACTTCAGGTCGAGCCATGCGTGAAACTTCTAAAAACCTGCGGAAATAATTGAGTGCAACGGAAAATCATGCAGTCGAATTGAAACAGTGAGAAATTCAACAGAATGGGAAAGTTTTTGGTGTAAGCTGTTTACCAGCCATTTTTTCTGAGGCATCGAACCACTACTGCGGGTTTGACCTCGGAGTTGCCTTAAAGGAATCTTGCGCGGAAAATTCTTGCACTCTTTCCTAACATGAATATGTCAGTTGTGATCACTGGAAATAGCACACAAAGTTTCACGCATGAAGATTCGGTTTCTGAAGAGAAACAAACGTACAAAAACTACACGTTATGGACCATCGAAGGACCAGGAGGCAGAGCCAGGCGAGGCATGGAAAGAAGACGGCGTTTGGCCGGCTACGTACCAGGCGACGCAATGAGAGAATCGGGTTAAAGCGCGCGATTTCGGAGAGTGGAGACAAATCGATCGATGGAATAGGATGGAGTAGAAGTGTAAGATGTGAATGCAACGAAGCAGAAGGCCAGAAAGAGCTTCTAGTGAATGCACTCCAAGAACCAAGTTTGAGCATCCCCGTCGCCAGCATTCGTGAAAGACGTCCGTGGGCAATTCGAACGCGTAGCAGCCTTTTCGAGTTTTCGAATTTCTAATCAAAACGAAAGCAATACTTCAGTTCTTTTCACTATTATCGTGGATAATGAGTCTCAAGCCAGTGATTTATGGCTGAAATAGAATCATGATTTTTCCGCGCAAGATTCCTTTAAGGTTGTGTGTTGTTGAGAAAATGAGTTTTGAGGAAGAAGTCACGAGGACACGTATGTGTTCAAAGAGGACCAAAAGTAATTTTGCTGTTTCTCCTTTCCTGTTTTTGTTATTCTCACCTAGTTTCAGCTAAGACTTCCTTTACAAGCAAAAAGGTCGAGGACATAAGCGATGTCAGAACCTGATGGCATACCCTACAAGAACGATCTCTTTGTCTTATATGGTTGACGAGTTGTAAAGCTTTTGCTCGTAAAGCGAGATTACTTTAGCTTTCTTTTAACTAGCAAAATAACAAAAACATCAGAGGGACAGTCGAAGAGAAATAAGAACCGAGGCGAGAAACGCATTCGGGGGCCGACTAGAGAGCTGTTAGGGATAGGGTGTAGGACGTCAGACGTATCTGCAGAAGGACATGATGATGATGGGCATAGATTGCATCAGGTTACACATGTCGATTCAGTATTTCAAAGGAGGAATTCACGATAAGAACGAAGGTCGAAGAAGGAGAAAATTTGCCTAGTGAGGACAGGCGGACCTCCTGAGGGTGCTGACCGACGCGCAATTGGCAGCGAAAGATTTGACCTCGGCGATCTAGCATGGCTCACTCTTGGCGCGGTTGGCGGGGTACGCCCACCGACTATCTAATCACTCGCCGCAGGTCTATACATGGCGAGTGATTAGCATCGCAGAGAGCAGAGCGTTCCCGTTGTTTGAAGAAACCATTGTGTTTGAAGAGGGGCACAGTGATGAGCGTCGGCCGCACCAATTGCGCAAATCACACGGGTCCACAGTGAACGCGATGGTCCTACTGTTTTTCAGGTCGCCTCTTCACAATGCGTTTCTTCTTCACCCCTGCTCCTCTCCTTATTTCCAATGAGCAACTTTTCATCGTTGCCTTCGAGCGCCCTCATGAGCTTCTTCTAGCGACCGCCGTTCTTGGTCACTTGGAACAGAGTTTGGTTTCTATGGGAGCTGACCAAGCGGGCTAGTTCACACATAGGGACCGGGGAGTACTTCATGAACAAAACACGTTATTAGATCATCTCAGTCCACACATCCTACTCCCGTTTGTCCTTCCTCGCGAGGGGTAAAAACAGTGTCATAGGCATGTCATTATCTCAATGACTTGTCATTAAATCGTTCTCATTCCCTACTGCTCCTTAGTTTAAAAAACTAGGCCACTAGAAAAGCCAGTAGTTTGCAGAAAAAAGAGGGGAAATTTTCTTAGTGGAAATAAAGATGTAGAATTAGCGTAAAGCATCGTCATTCGTGAAGGGTGATGTGGATTTCCCCGGAGCACCAAAATGGCTCGCGAATTCTCCTGCAAAAACATAAGTCCCATAAAACGAGATGAATCCGTCTTTCGGAGTTCTGCCTTGGGAATTCAACCAATGCACTAAGCGAAGTTCATTTAGTACAGTGACAACTTGACATTTTTAAATGAGACTCCAGAGAGTATTCACTTGCGACGCCTGAGCAGAACGACTTCCATTTCTCATAGCTTTCCAAGCATTGGGAACGCTGCCACTAAATGATAGCGTGTCATGCAGATGAGACAGCGGAAGCGGCGGTTTGGGTAAGTCGTAAAAATCGGGTCAGAGGACGGGTCCTGCCCATGATTTTAGGGGTTCTATATATAGTTGTACTTTTCACTCATCAAACATTGCCAAGGCTCGAATGAGGACCGTCAAAATTACAGGCGGTGTCTGGGTTTCCATGGATGTTCTAGTGTTAACTAAATTGTGTAAGTAGTAGACGAGCTGCACAGGCAACAACCACCGCCTTTCATGTTTTTCTCTCGTGGGCGGGGCATAAATACAGATGGCGCAGAGCGGCTTCCCATGTAACATGTAAAAGAGGACATAGGAAAGTGAGACGCGTAAATTCGTATACGCTGTAGAAAACGGTGTTTGTTAAGCGAGGAAGTACGGAAAATAATTGAACAAGAAAAAATATTCAGTTTAAAAAATTTGAGTCCACCGATTTCTGGTAGGAAATATTTAGTACGAAGAATTTTCTAGAAAGTTTCAAGCAGCGTGTCACGGTAAACAGCGCTGATGAGCTCCTTTTGAGATGCACTAGGTGACCTTCAGCTATTAGCCGCAACAAGTAGCTCCAAATCTTTCACCGTGTGTACACCTGATCGCAGCTTTCTGGCCGTGATGAGCTGGAGGGCTTAATTTTATGCAGATCCAGACCGTAACGTACGAAATGGGTAGTACAGGAAGCTGCAATTCCTCCACAGGAACTTAACATGATGCAAAATCGCAGATTCGAAAAAAAGGCTTGAGGCGGTAATTCAGAATGAAACGTCGATGGATGTCAAAGTGAGGTAGCAATCATCAAAAAAGGGGCACCCGACAGGAGGCCCGTCGCGCGGCAACAGGGCGAAGTCAGCGGACGAGTCGCAGAGAGTGATTTCGCGTCAAGTTAAATAGAATGTACCATTGTACGTCCTACATCGCACATCACGCGCTGCGACTCGTCCGGTGACACTGCCTTCTTGCTGCGCGACGGGCTTCCTGTCAGGTACCCTCAAAAAAGTCCTCAGACTCAACCAAAGGCTGCTTCAGGCAGTTCAAGGATGATAAACCAATAATAAACGGAAATAGAATGCATTTCTAACTCTCGATCAATATAGTGATCAGTCTCTTTTTGAATGCGCCACGCACTTCACTTACGTTCAGAATCGTGGTGACATTTTGAATGCTAGTTGGCCTCTACAATAATTTATGAGAACCAGCCGATATGTTTGTCAGTGTTTTGTCTTC